GGGGGAATCTGGTTAGATTTGATATCAGCCTCGTCGTTCCCAACTCGCTTCCAACGCCTGGTTACCAAGGTAACTGCATTGATCTCCAGTCTGCCTACCCACGTTGTGAATTGATCTTAGACAGACGAGATCAAACAGTGGTTGGGGCCGTAATGCAAACTGAGTTCAACGGGGGTGATACTACACAAATATGCATAAAAGAAAATAAAATGAAAACTCAAAAGTTCAAAACGTATCAAAGAAAAAGGTAACAAACTTTATGTCTAGTTGTTCGATACATAGGACTGCATCTAACTCCCGACCCGTTCTGTGGATTGTGACACGTCGTTTTCCCTAGTTAGGCAAGTTTTAACGCTTCAAGTTGTTGGCTCTCTAAGAAATTGGCGTTTCGGTGTGTCTTTGGGCGAAAGTCGAAAAAAACTTATTTCGGTGGTCTGGTTCTAAGTCGCTCTTCAAAATAATTGTTCTTGGGTTGAAGAGGAGGCCGGAATTTTGCGTGAATCTTGGTCAGCTATCTGCGAGGCGGTTTCAACTGAGACTGACTCTGGGAACTCAACTCTGGAAACTCGAGCCCGAACTCTGATTTCTGCCTGTTGGGGCCTCAACTTTTTATTGACGCCGACCAAAACCGGGGTGGGTCTGTCGGCGTCAGGGTTTCCTCGATAATTCTAAATACATATCCACCTCTTTTTTTTTCTGGTTAGAATTTTCCAATTTTTCCATTTTTGGGAACCTTTCTTACTCCCACTTTCTCACCATACTTCAGAGGGGCGTGAACTGCCCTCCCCACTTCCTCGTAGCAGCTTCTCATACTTATACTCTGGATGAGGCGTCGACAGCCTTCTTCGTGCGTCACGTGATCACCACTCGGCCAATGAGGTCTTAGTCGGGTATCTTTCCTCCTCCTTCGTGCGTCACGTGATCACCACTTGACCAATGATGTCTTAGTCGGGCGTGAACAATCCGCGGCTTTGTTTCGGGGAAAAAATATCTTGCTTAACTAAAAAAAATTATCTCTTCTTTTTCCCTTTTCTTCCGCTTTAATCGCCGTTATCATTTTTCTAGCCGCAAACGGACAATATGACAATTCTTGTTCTACACGTGGTTTTTGTCAGGTATTTTATCGCTAATTATCAAAATGGGTGGTCTTCTTAACACGGCCTCAAAAAAGAAATATCTCTAAAGTTTCAGTCAGTCTGTCGCCTCCAAGGAAGAAGAAAAAACACTTCTGGGTCCCCATTCATTTTCCTTCGATACATATTTCTGATAACATAATTTTATTATTGCAGGCCAAAGTTGTTTCGTCGGCTTGTGTGGTTTTTAATTTTTCATATCTACCCAAAGTCCTGTAGTTACACCTGTGTTTTGTCAATTATCAAAATTAACGTTTTCAATTGAATTTTTCGTTGGCCAGTCGAGCAGCCGTTTTGTTTACGTACTCCTAGATAACACAGCCGTTATCAAAACACATCTGTTTCTTTCTTTGTTTCCCTTTCTTCTTACCCAGAATTTCCCTGTCATTGTAATGACACCCTTTCGCCATTGTTACTTATCAATATATTCATTGTCTCTTAGCCGTGTGTGTGTTCTGCTGATCACCCACGATTCGTCTCGCCTTTCTTTCTGCCTTCTTTTCTTTCTTTTCATTTCTCTGCCTCGTAAATGGTGCCACACGGATGAAAGATGCTGGAAGCTTGTCTGGTTCCTGGTATCGCTACTGAAAATGACGGTGCCATGATTTTATCTTTCTAAAAACCAGATCAGTCCAAAGATTGAGTATGGCTGTCATATCTGCCACCCAAATATCACTGTTCGACAGAGCTCAAAAGAAGAAAGGACATTAAAAATACGAAAATAAGATCAAAAAATAATAAAGAAACGCACAAAGGAAGTAAGTATTGTATTGTCTCGTATCCATAAGAAAACCTCTTAGTCGGTGTGATAATACATTTTTCTAAAACCTCCAATTCTTATCCCACATACGAGACATCGGCCTTTCTTTACTATATCGCTATTAATATAGCAGAGTAGCAGCATGACCCGGCGTTGCCCGTGCTTGATTAAAAAATCGCACGACTCATACAGCAATCGCTATCACTTGCCTTAAAATATTTTTGCCCTTCCTTGCCTTTAAAGGAGTGCCCTTTGCCGTACTGATGTTGCTACATGCCTTACTTCTTGCCTATCTCACACTGCAATTTTTTCTATTTATTTCTGTTTATACTAAACATTAAATCTGTTACGAAAAAAGAACTAAACAAAATGAACACAAAACGATCAGATTTAAAAAAGGACTCGTAACTGGAAAAACCGAATGAAAAAAGAATGTTAACAACAAATACTTTTTCAGAGTTTGTCTATATTTCTGAGATGAGGTATTATGTACAGTATTTACATTAGCTGATAACTGACATCCATCAAACATGGCACGTGGAATTAGAACAGTCTAACCCAGTGATCGAAATAAAGGGTTCAGTTCGAAATTTCAACCACCTGAAGA